AAAGTACTGCTCAAGAATTGGCTTTCACCTGCTTTGGTGCTCACTCTCAAAGGTGCACAACTTGAACAGATAGATCGTTTCGTCTACCTTGTGAGCTGTGTTTCTGCTGACGGCACTATCAACAAAGAAGTTTCTCTTCGTATCGCTAAAGCTCGATCAGCATTTGTCAATCTGAGGCACTTGTGGCGTCGTCGCGACGTCTCATTCTCACTAAAGGGCCGCGTTTGCAGCGCATCAGTTCGCTCAGTATTGTTGTATGGGTGCGAGTCCTGGCCGATTCGCATGGAAGACATGCGTCGTCTTTCTGCCTTCGATAACCGTTGTTTAAGGTGGATCGCACGTGTTTGCTGACAACATCGAGTTAATAGTAATGATGTTCGACGTCGCATCTTGGGGAATGCGAGTATTCCCTTTAACGAACTGGTATTGTTGAAGATCAGTTCAGCTGCCCCCCTGCTCCCGGACCTCTTCCTACTCAGGTGATGCAGGACGTGCCATGGACGGTTAGTTCAGAGCCTCCGTCGGAGGCCGAGGTCCGAAACGCGACCACAGCCTTCAATCGTTTTCGTGCCGCTGGCCCGGATTCCCTCCCACCTGCACTATTTAAGAACAGAGGCGTGGTCATCTGCAGGGCACTGACCTCCCTATTCGTACGTATCTGGAACGAAGAGAGTGTGCCGGCTAATTGGAGCGAATCTATTATGGTGGCAATATACAAAAAAGCAGTCGCACAGACTGTGCGAACCACAGGGGTATTAGCCTAATGCCAGTTGTGACAAAATTACTGGCCTCGATTATCGTTCGTCGCCTCACTGCAGAACGGGGATCTCGAATTAGGGAAGAGCAGGCCGGTTTTCGCCCAGGACGTGGCTGTATAGACCATATATTTACTTTGCGGCAGGTGCTAGAGCAGCGCCACGCATACCGCAGACCGACAATAGCTGTGTTCCTCGATTTCAAGAGTGTGTTCGATTCAGTCGATCGATCGATTCTGTTCGAATTACTTGCGCGAAAAAGTGTTCCCACGAAATATGTGAACATCCTTCGTGCTCTATACTCGAACACTAGAGGTCGCGTCAGGGTCTATGGTGCGCTATCGGATAGCTTTTCTACCACAAGTGGCGTTTGTCTGGGTTGTCCGATTTCCCCGTTTTTGTTCAATTTCGTCGTGGATTCTATCATGGAGTGTTCCCTTGCGGAATCTCATGATGTAGGCGTTGAACTGCTGCCTGGTGAAAGGCTAGTTGACCTAGATTATGCGGACGATATCGTCTTGCTTTTCGACAATGTTGAGGCGGCACAATCAACCCTGAATAGCCTGTCCAGAATGGTACCATTATTTGGTATGCACTTTGCACCTTCAAAGTCCAGAGTGTTGCTGCAGGACCACCAGCCACTTGATGACCCCTTGACGCTTGCTAACGAGGAACTCGAGGTGCTTGATCAATTCACTTATCTTGGCAGCTACATCAGCAATGATGAGCGTATAGAACCTGACGTGAGCTCACGTATTGCAAAGGCCAGAGCCGCCTTCTTGAACCTGCGTCATCTTTGGCGACAGAAGGGAGTTTCTCTCCGTCTGGAAGGCCGTGTATACAAGGCCACAGTGAGGGCCGTTCTGCTCTATGGTAGTGAAACTTGGCCCCTTCGGTCTGAAGATCTGATGCGCCTTCAAGTCTCTGATCATCGTTGTTTGCTAAGCATTGCTGGTGTCGGATGGCACCAGCGTGTCCGCAACGATGATGTGCGTAGGCGAGTACTAGGTGGTGATAATCATGCTAATTCCATAGAACAACAGATAGCACTGAATAAGTTGCGATGGCTCGGGCACGTGCTACGCATGCCTGGTCACCGCTTACCTAGGAGGGCCTTGTCCAGTCTACCAGGTGTAGGATGGCGCAAGGCTCGAGGCGGACAGAAGTTGACTTGGCAGCGGGAAATGAAGTCACTTACAACCAAACTGGGTGCGGTTGGTCCTTCTTCCCTTCCGGGTTGGAGTCCACGTGACTCACCTTGTGCTTGGCTCGAGACTTTACAGGACATGGCTCGCAACCGACACCAGTGGCGCGTCTGCTGCCGTCTCCTAATCGGATTGTCTGTTTAAAGTGTGTTTGGTGCTGAGTTATCTGCGGGGTAATGGCTGATTCTGACACGTGGCAGTGAAAGCCGCAAGGAAGCTGTCTCGCCGATGCCGCCTTATCTTTGCACGATAGCCAGCTGTTTGTGACGGTATGTTGTCTACACAAGGTGTAGGCGCTTTGACCCTGAATGTTTGCTTAGGGCATTAAGGTTTTCAGGTAAGTCCCCCTTCTCTCCCTCTTCTTATTCTTTATTTCATAGGTCCTCATGGTTGTAAGGCAGCGAAGCATCAGTTCAAATGGCTGATGTACTGCTATTGATGATGATGATGATTGTTGCGCCAGTTAAGATGGCTCGGTCGCGTCCTACGCATGGCACCTGAGCGTCTAACTCATCGCGATCTATTCGCTCGTCAAGGACCTGGCTGGAGGCAACCGCGTGTTGGTCAGCCTTCCACTTGGCGGCAACACATGAAATCGCTGACGTCGTGTCTAGCCGCTGTTGGATCCGTACGTCTTCCAGGATGGGGACCCAAAGATGAGGAGTGCCGATGGCTTAGCACTCTTGATGATATGGCCCCCAACCGGAATCAGTGGAAGAATTGTGTACAGTATTGTATTGATTCACATATTTATTACTACAAACATTGAAAATGACAAAGAAGAGCCAAATGACGTGTGAAAAACAAACTAACAATGTTTTGTTCTACTTTTTGTCAAAATGTTCCATTCTTCCCGCGGCATATTAGCTGAAGTGTGTTGCTCACCTTCAACTACCATGCCATGATGATTATGACGCAATGACTGTCTCTTATTCACTGATCTCCATGGTTTTCTGTTGGCTCTTTGTCTAGTTGATACACAGCTGAGACTACATACATAGATAAAGGTTGACCAAATCTTTTTCCTGAACTACTCTAATTCTACTAAAATAAGACTACCAAATTGTCCTCGTTCTCTTTTTTTCGCAGTACTACGCAGAATCATTGTGACGTTGAAGTGCTGGAGGCTTGGTTCGGCTACCGGTTCAAGAAGCTGGACGCTCGTTAGGCGAAAGCCTGTATCGTCCTCAGAACTGACCTGTCGCTTTTAGATTCAGATGGTACTGAAACGGTAGGAGAATCCCTTCAGTGTTCCTACTTGAGCGGATCGTTGAGCCAACAAATGATAAAGTGCTACGAGATCTTGATGAATCTAAAACGAAACACCCGGACCACACCCTGGTCAACTAATTACTGCTCACATTCCTTTCACTAGCAGTCCCAGCTGTGCAGGTCACCTGGTAAGGAAGACGTAGGAAGAAAATGGAAGATAATGATAAAGGAAAGTCAATTAAATGAAGGATAATCCAAAAGGGTGAAGAGAATGACAGAATCGAAACGTAAAACAGACGCGCTGTTATCTACGGGGCAGTCAACAGAAACAGTTACGGGTTAGAACAAGGTGCTCAACTGATTACAAGACAAAGTACCAGAAAAATAGCCAGTGGCTGAGTCGAAAAAAGAGATGGACGTCATTAAGTTCATTGAGTTGTAGAGGGCAGAAGGGGAGTCTCGTGTTAGCCCCGTCGCCTCCAACTCAGCACGAGAAGCAAGTGTGCCTTAGCGACCCAACGATCCACATGTGACCAGGGGAGTCGCAGAGGAACAATGCTATCTAGGCTTCTTGCGCAGATGGGGGTCCAAAAACCGCTTGCAACTTTCTCGGTCTGTGTGCTGACTACGGCTTTTGTGGGCTGTTCCATTCGTTTACTACTCGAGTAGAAAGGACGACGGCGGAGCGCACTCGGAGCATCCTTGGTTTAACTACTTTCCAAGTGTGACCTCGTGTTCGGCCTTCTACGTTTACTTGAAATAACTGCCACAGTTCATTTCCAAACTCCCCTCTTAGTATGCGCGTGATGAAAGTCTCCACGGCGGCATCGGTAGTCCAATGAGAAGTTCTTGGAGCCGAAGAGACTAGGGGAAATCCCTAAGTCAGGAGACAAACTTTGAGCCACGTTTCTGGACCCGTTCTGTTAGGGTACAGTATAGCTTTGAAAGCGGAAACGTAGCCGGTAGACCGTACTCAAGAATACGTCGTACATGGGAGATGAATAGTAGTCTGAAGATCTTTGATGTCTTCCGAGAGAATGATCTTCTTATGGCACCCCACATCCTGTTAGCAACGACCACTCTCCCTAGTGTATCCTAAATGCTTTTTAGGTCCGATGCAGTTAATACACCTAGGTCTTTCTTCTGGTCGGAATTCTTGAGAAGAAACCCCCCAATATGGTAGGTGCCGAGTGGATCAGGCGCACCAATCGGTAAGACACAACATTTGGAAAAGTTGGTAGGTAAATCACACTTGGTGGACCAGTCGTGTAGTAGATCCAGCTTGGCCTGTAGTTTATCAGCAGTATCGATGTCCGAGACCACCAACCAAGGCTTGAGATCATCAGCGTCCTACTGTTATACATTCTGACCACCAGCTTGATGTACTTGGGTGCTAACACATCTTTTTCCTTTTGCCAATCTCTGTACTTCACATACTGCCATTAATGCCTTCACAAATTACATCGTTCCCCATTTTTGTATTTTTCTGTCCCATATTTTACAAGGTTAGCGCACTAAGGGCTGCTGGTGGGCAAGTAAACAGTACTTGCTTGGCCAGCATGTGATTACATTTCTTCGTCTTAGGCTAATCAAGATTTCGGTTCTTTATGTCGATTCCCGGCTTAGTGATCTGTGCTAGAAAAAACTTTCACTGAACCCTGAGGTTGGAATGTTCTAAGTTGTCTATTCATTGAAGTTTGCCATCGTCATGCACATTTTTCATCTTAACTTTTACACTTTTCTTGATGTACCATGTCTTATTCATTCCATAGTGGCTATGTAACTCATGTTTACTTTTATTTTTGAATCCTTTAGCGTTCGTTTTCATATGGAAGCCGTCTCTGTGCTTGCGAAAGCCTTAGCTTCCGACAAACTGAAGATCCGGAAGCGAGCTCAACTGGATGTCTCCATATTGCTGCGTAAACAACAGGATAAGAGCAGTAAGTTTCAGCTAAACTGCTTGTAACCACCTTGCTTTTGTGTCATTTTCCAGCCACTTTGTTCTCTTAATCAGTTTCTCCACCTACGTTATCACCAGACTCCTGTTTCTCTTGGGCATTCACTTTTGTGTCTCACACCGTTCACTTAGCTGACTACGGTTGCTTCTGTAGCACACAAAGAGTCTGTCAGATTGCAAACCGATATCTCTATTTTCACATTTCCGCGACCGTACTCTTTTAGCTAGTCTCAGTCACTTTATGACCTTGTTCAATTTCTTCGTCTTTATCCCTTCCATTTATGTCAGCTCGGTCGATATGCAGTTTGATGCGACTCAAGCATTCAAGGGAATTTTCAGCCCTTCTCTAGATTCCGCTTATGCTCGCATGGAACGCACTCCTTACCTCGGCGAAGCGCATTAGCGGTTATGATCAGTTTCTCAGCCCTTACGATCCCAACGAGTTGGACAATCCAAACGATGATTTGAATCATCCGAAATGCTCCACTAAAAAGGAATTCGAACTTGCTTGTCTTGACAACTTGACACGTTCGAGGCTTTGCTGTTTTTCCGAAACACAGTTTTGTGTGGTTGAAGTGTGCAAGCTTGTTCTGTTGGGTATTCAGTCTCAGCAAATCCACGACATTGATACGACACTTAACGAATAATCTTTGATTAGCCGGAAGCACTACGGTTGCCTAGTAGCGGGCTGGTAGCTTTCCGGAACGATGCTCATTCGTTGCTGGTAGCTCAGCTGGCATTCAACTGTTGCACTTCTTTTCTTTTTTCTTTTATGTATTGTGGCACAGTAGCTGAGGTGTTTTACACCTCTAACTAACGTGTATGATGATGAATGCTGGTGATGCTACTGAGTGACAATGGTCTACTGATTGATAGACGGTGCTTTTAAGAACAGCCGTGCACATGAATCTGAAAAAGCCCTCATTTAAGGGAACTGATAAGGATAGATAGCTAATTTATCTATTCTCAGACGCATCAATTGTTTCCTTGGACGAGATATTTTGTAACTCGCTGGGAAACATTACTATGTTGTTGTCCTTCGGTAAATCACTTTCATCGCGACAAGACTGGACCTTAACGAGGTACGATGGTTTGCGTTCCTCAGCGATCCATTGGACTATGCACCTTCAGAACCACTCATAACAGATTGGTTAGTGGTTAGAGGCCTGACAGTCTCCTGACCCTACTTGTTGGGGGTTGGAGTGGGAGTGGCTACTTATTCCATAAAACGGACTCGGTGTAGCCTAGTGCCCAAACTCTGCTACCTTACCAATGGATAAATAAATAGTTTTTGGAATCAGTTTATTTGAGAACCCTAATCGTTCTCCTGTCTAGGCTTGGGTAACCTGGTAATATTCTGCCCACACAGTATAGTGACCTTACATTCTAACAATTTCCTAATCGCAGAGGATAACCGACGGCGCCCCATCTTCTGCATCGAGCAGGATGGATAAGAGTTTGGATGCTAGTGCTCAAGCCTTCCCGTCTTTTTCTTCACTCTCTCGCGCATTTTTATCTTTATCGTCCCTTTCCAACTTCAGTTTTATCCCCCTGTTTTCGATTCCTTAATTCTTGGTCTTCCCCCATCTTAATTCAATAATCGTTTATTTTCCAGTTTATACTCACACACAATCGCAGGACATCGCTTTGAGCCAGTCGACAAGTTCATATCCAGCCAGACGGACATCGGCAGTTCACTTGCTTCTATTTGGAGCCCTCGATGCTCCCTAAGACTGGCATGCCTCAATGTACGCACTTTGTTGCAAACTGGCCAACAGGCAATGTCAAGTGATCCTCCGTGAAACAAAAAGTCAAAGTCTGGGCCTCGATCAGAAATCTATTACTCATAGAACACAAGCTCATTTGAATCAATTTGAACCACTCACTCCTATTACATTCTTGGCCAGTGTTCGAGCTTCGTTCATGTCGATCCAGATCGATTGCGTGCTATCCTTCAGTTCGCCTCTTCAGCGATCGACCAGCTTTCAGACTGTTGGCCCAAAATCGTTAAGCTCGGTCGTTCGATAAACAAGCGGCACGCTCAGTTTGGCATCTTACCACCACAGGCAGCACTTACCCGAACACTCGAGACCCTATCTATATATGTCTACTGCTTATCAGAAACTCGTCTGCAAGCTTCGTGTTCTATGATTACGCCGCAGTCCACAACTTACGACACTGGCGGTTTTTTCTGGTTGCGCTTATTCGGCTTCAAATACCGGTCAAGCCGATGTGTTAAATGCTCTGAGTCCCCGAGCTGAAGCTACCCAGTTTAGCAATTGCGGAACTAACGCTCAGTAACTGGCTTGCAGCCGAAGTATCCCAAAGCAAAACACGTCGGGCGAACGGAAGGCAAAACTATATACTAGCCAACGTATCCGGATACAACGCACCGATCCAGTATTTTAAATTAGGCCGATGGATGAGCGGGTTACTGATACACGCCAGCAGACACAGGCAACGGCTCAGTACGTTGGCCGTGAGGATGCCACATTCCTTCTCCCTTTAGTTTGGACCCCTCCAGCTAGCTTGGTATCGATCGACGGGTCGGCGTAGTCGAGTTGAACAGCGACATTGCTGATCCTCCGGTTGGCCTGAGTTTTGAGGGTTCTGTGTCTTTGTCAACTCAATATGTTGGTTTGAGGACGCATCATCTGGTGCAATTGAAACGGAACTAGGGCGGACGTGATCTCTGTGCCGGTTAACTACTCTGTCATCAGCTAAAGCAACCTCCGTATGTTATCTTGCAACTTCGCACAACTCTCCAGACTGCCAGGTCGTTTCGTTGGGCAACATGACGTAGACCGGTTCATTCTCGCAGAATGTTCCATCGAAAACTTTCTGGTCGTATTCTGTCTTAGATTTATCTTGTTTATCCTCGACACGTAACGTCTGATCAGGAGACAAAAGATCCAGCCGTGTCCTCAACCTCCGTCCGAACATCAGTTCGCCAGGGCTCTTCTAAGTAGTTTCGTTTGGCGTGGGGCGGTAACCAACAAGAAATTTGTCCAACGTTGTTCGCAGTGCATGAGACACTTGTTTCCAGAACCCCTTCCTGACCGTCTGGACGGCTTTTTCCGCCAACCCGTTTGTAGCTAGGTGGGAGGGAGCTGATTTCACATTATGTATGCCGTTGCTTTTGTGCAACTCTTAAAATGCTTGACTAGTAAATACAGAACCGTTGTCTGTTACCAGCGTATGTGGTATACTGATGGTACTGAAACACGTCCGCATGCAAGAAACGGTCGTCTCAGAGCTGGCTTGTGCAAGTGGAAAAACGTCTACTCCTTTCAAGGAAGCATCAATAAAGAGGAGAAACCTTTTTCCATCTATCGGGCCAAAAAAGTCTGCGTGTATACGTTCCCAAGGTTTACTAGCCCATTTTCAAGGAATAAGTGCTACCGGAGGAGAGCTCCTCCGAGTGTTTTGACACACGTCGCCGTGTCGGATCAACACATCAATGTCTTTGTCAACATTAGATCACCACACATAGGATTGCGCAAGTGCCTTTATTCTCGTGATTTTTGGGTACATTTCGTGTAGCTCTTATAAGACATTCTGTCGCCACCGTTGTGGTATGATTGCTCTAAATCCTCATAGCAAACACCCATCCTCGAGACTTAAGACAGATGGAAATTGGGTGTTGCCCGCTCGAGAACACTGCACAACCACGACCCGTTTCAATGTCATTTCATCTCATCAGGTGGAGATTGCAGGCCTCGAACCCGCGATCATTGGAATAGTAGCCAAAACCTCTACCCCTTTGGCTACTGGGTCACAACGAGCAACGATTGGCACAACGGTAAATGACTAATTGGAGGGTCAATTTTGGACTGCACGTTGTGTGATTGGATTGCGATGCGCAATCTCATTGTGGACCGCGATTCACATTGAAGTGAACCTTGGTCACTACAATCACTGGGACCGTCGTCAAAGCAGGTGGAAATTGGGTGTTGCCTGCCCGAAAACACTGCACAACCACAACGCGTTTCGATGTTATTACATCTCACCAGTGATCACGGTGACTAAGGTTCACTTCAATGTGAATCGCGGTCCACATTGAGATTGCGCGTCGCAATCCAATCACACAACGTGTAGCCTAAAATTGACCCTCCAATAGTACCTAAGACTTATGCAGAGGGACATGACTGGAAGCATGCTGCACGCATATTTAACGTAAACCTGATTCTCTGCCGCAGTTGGATAAAAAAAGTTGGTCAAGCGGACAAACAGAAAAGCGTGTTGGGGGACGCCGAAGGTCTCTGACAGAAAGTCAGATTGATTGCCTGGTAGAATAGGTGTCGAAAGAACCCACGGTCACTCTCCAAACACTGCGTCTGCGGCTGAAGGCAAATTTAAACATTGAGGTAAGCGTGAGCACAATTGCACGATATTTGATGAACGGCTAATTACCATGAAGAAGTTGCGAGTAGTTCCGGAATTAGCCAGCACACATGAGAAGCAAATGCCGAGAAAAGCCTACCTTTTGCACCACTACAATCCGAGGCCGAAGGGAGACAAGCTGTGTGGATAGATGAAACCAATTTCAATCTCTTTTGTGATCGCACCATACGGCGTTCACCGAGTAGAACTCCTGTGCAATATAAAGCGTCCAACAGTCGAGCCCAAAACCTGCATCTGATTGGAGCATTAACGAGCGATGGAACACATATTCCGGGAGAAACCGTATCGTTCGGGCAGCTTCCTGCGTCTGGCACCATATTCTCCATCACTGAATCCCACTACGGGAATCTATCACCTCATAAAAGCGTTTATGAAGCAAGCTATGAGGGGGCAATATTTTGAAATGCTTCAGGGAGCTCCTGAGGGTGTGCTATGCAAGGGCGAGTGGAAAATGCACTTCTTGGAGCGAATTGTGTCCGAGACACAAACTGCGTGACACCCCACCACTGCATGTAAGAAGGAATTACGCTCGCACTAGACATTGCATGAATTTGTAAATCATTTTTTGCTAACATTCATGTATATAGTCTGAAATGGTGTCATCACTTTTACGTGTCACTAATTCATAGGTTTGACATTCAGACTACATGTTGGGGCACGCACTTTGCGCATGCTTCCGGTGTGGCGTTACGAGACAGCCACATGGTATCCTTATAGTTCAAAAGAGTCGGGACGGCAACTGCAGTAGTGCTAATGGTGAGAAACCTGAATATGTGTCAATAAGTGGTATGCCGTTAAACAATGCGGAATGTAAACGCATTGGCATGAAAGCTGTCCACGCGCTTGCAGAACCTTACGTCTAAGGTTCCTACGGTAAGTAAGCAAGTTTACGTTCAGTATGTGTGCAACATGCTTCCATTCATGTCCCTCTTCACTAGTGGTAAGTATTTCGTTCTTCACTTCCGCCGAGTGCCGCATACTAGGGCCTTTTTGTTACATTCGGAGCAGAGCAAGCTGTTGCACCAGTTGCACTGTTCCACTCAACTTGGCTTGCCTATGGACTTAACTTCACCGCTACGTTAGTCACCGTACCAGTGTCATCGGTGGCAAGCAAATCATGTGATCTCACATCGCGAACATGGGTTTGGCTCATACGTGTGCACGCGTGCAACTTGTAACATGACGCATGCGATGCAGCTTTAAGCGTGACCGATGCAAGCATTTGAGTATATGATCCAAGGAATTGAGAAAAGGTATAGACTCACTCAGACAGCCAATACACGCCCGGAAAAGCACTATACGCGCGTTTCGTCCTTTTGGGAGTCGTCAGCACTGCGCATTTCATCGGACCCTGGTTAGACTGTAACCCGCAACTCGACTGTTGCCTGTTCGTGGTTGAGACCACTGAACTATGAGGGACGGCAACGATCATTGTGAATAAGTTACTACATGTCATATAGTGCTGCTCACTATCCTACCTATGCCATTCAACTCCCCTACTACTCTTCTGTAATCAGTACGGAGACCAAACTGTTTATAATACCACAAGTTAATTGGCCGCTCAACTTGGGTAAGTTCGTCCCTTGGTGAGGGTGCTACCCTGTACTCTGTGCGGTAGTGACGTGCAAGTCAGTGACCGGCGCTATATCACATGTAGTAAGTGACCTACTCATCCGCATCCATTTGTATTGTGTTTTGGAATGAGCACCCGGGATCAGTCGCCTCAATAGTTCATGGTGCTCTTCAACTTGATGGAGTCGCCTCCGCGGTCGATCTATAGTCTCCTACCTCTGACCTTTCCATCTGATAATTTTAGCTACTACTGGTCTTGTTTCGATAGACTTTTACTGCTATATTAACTACGTGAATAAAGGCAAATACACGGCGTCATTTACTGTCTGACCAAAGCTGAGCAACCGAGCCAAATTAAACCACCGTGACAAGATTTTATTGACGATTCTGGTCTAACTGATGCGAAGTTCTCATCCAGTCGCACCCGAACGCTACGGCAACTATGGAGATGAGCGTGTCGCTAATCACTTCGATCTAACGATTCATCTACGTGTTCATCTTAAGATCTTAAGCGGGACCCATTATAGGGATTCCAAAAGGGAGAATAATTTACTGGGAGGCTTTTATTTGGTACAGCTAAATGTTCCTCTTTTGTCTAGCTCTAAAAATACGACACCGATGACGCTGCTATCTAGAGAAAAGTGCAACGCACAAAAGTGATAGCACCTTGAAATCGAAATGGGTGGTAAGCAAAGGCGGTGTTCGAGTCAAGCAATCGGACTCAACAAATAGTTTAATAACCGTCACCAGTTACCTAAGTGTGCGATGAAATAGTAATTTTTGCTAGAGTTTTACACAGGCAAACTGAAGAAATATTCCGACTGCTACAGACCTCCTTTGCAAAATGTTATACTGGTTTGATCCCCCTTGCAATCCATTTCACGGCCCTCATTCTACTATCTTCTGTCTACTCAAACTGGATTTAAGGTTAACCTCCCTTCCTCTTCTAGATATCCCATCCTACACTGAAATGCTGGCCATTTGCAAAGGCCTGCATTACAGCCTATGGATGCAAGACAAACTACTGCTGAAGGTCAGTTTCTCTCCTATGATAATCTTTCTCCTCCTCCTACTCCACATAGGAAGAAGTAGTGCATCGCATATGCTCCACTTTACCACTCATCCCCAATCCAGTGGTGCGCCACTATTACTTCAATGGGATATTTGAGACACTTGCTCGCGAGTGGGACAAACTGGACAACTGGAGAGTGGATAAATTTATGATGGTACGTTGAGCTTTTGTCGGCTATTCACCCATGATCCAGTTGGCCCGCGATTTTTTTGTACAAGGTTTGAAAAGTTTTCCTGCCGTGGATTCAAAACTGTGGAATTCGTTCTTGGATTCCGTGTTTGAAAAAATACTGAACACAGATGTCCAGCATGCTGTTGGACTTAAGTTACACATGTGTAATGTGTTGTGTGAGGAACTTTCGCGGAAAGTCAGTTTTGATTATCTTCCATCATATATATATATATTTAGAAAGTCAAGAACCGTTGTATCGTTAGTACACTCACACAACTTGTCTGTTGCCTGGCTAAGCTACCTCGGTTCGTCACTAACTTTTGCTTTTCACCGCGCTATCGTTGTAGACACCACAGCTACCCGCACTCGATCCTACATTCGATTTATCGACTATTGGGTATTTTGAGAAAACGCTCCAAGGTGAGCCTGTTTGCTCTTATTCGGATGATTGCACCATTGAATAGCCCATGGTTGGCAATTTGTTAGCCACTTTAGATAGCTTTGCTACACAACAAGTGGCTCACCGCAAGTCTCTGAAGAGGATAACCGCTGTGTATGTTCATTCTGCGTTTCTATCTGTCTTTTTTCCGTTAACAGTGTACGCACCATCGCGGATAGAAAAACTGTTGAGACTGATTCTACCGCGAACCAGTTCGTCGGCTCTGATGATTGTGCATGCAGTGATGAGGTGTGTGATGTATTAATGCTTGATTCCATTCTCTTTGCCAGTCCTCAGCTCCAAGTTCCTTCATCTCTGAAGTCACAGTCGAATCCCAAAGTGCAGCGCCTCCATCTCAGCCTGTGAGCAAAGTAGGCCAGCACACCAGCTTTAATGACTCGATTTAGAAAAGGAAAAAATCCGATAAACTTACTGGCCCAAAAGATAAGCGGCGCCGTTTGTCCAAAAGTACCGAGGTATGTTCCTCTGTTTATTCGATGTACCTAGCTTGCAGCGTACGATCCTTATTCAATTTCTTCCGGTACAACCCCAGTTATCTCCCCTGGACTCTCAGTAGACTTTGCTTAATTTCTTACACGTAACAATTCCAGGTCCTAATCCCCACGCTTCGTTCGCAGCCTTCATTGACAACCCTCCAATCAGAGGAGCTGATCGATGCGAAATCCACTGCTGAGTCACAGCAGCCGGCTGAGGCATTTTCCGATGAGATGACTGCTGTCCCTATTGGAAGTTTAGCAGACTCTCCGGATCTTCCCAATAATGTCATTAACACCTGTAAAAGGCGGGTTTCATTCGGAAAAATCTTTCGTAAAAGTGCGTATTGTTTCTCTACCATGAAAGTTTGCAGGCTTTATTTCATCCCGACGATTACCCCTAACCCCCACCTCAAAAGTGACTCCAACAAAGGGTATTCTTCGAGGTATTTCTGATACTTTTGCTGCCTTTAATGTTCACTGTTTTAGATCCCAACCAGGACCCAACTCGATCCCGCATGTCAGTCTGATGAATCCGGCCAGTATACAAATGCCTCACTATGTTTTTGAAAATCGTTACCCATGAAGACTTGTATCCGCTCCGGAGTGTAACCATAAACCTTCATGGCATTGTCGATAACCATACGTTAATAAAATTCACTTGTTTCCATGATTTACCGCTCTTCAAAGACCACCACTAGACTCATGCCACCAGACTCATGAGAGCTTTGCGTAGACTTTACCACATTTCATCTCTCACTTGATGACCTAACTATCAAGGACGACTTCATTCAGTTCTCTACTCTGAGCTTCGTCACACGTATCTACTTTTTCTTACTCACTTGGTAGAGCACTTACTTCATTGCTTGGTAACGTGTGACGAGATGAGTTGATTCCGTACATTCATTTGGACACCCTGCATAACAAACCTCATCATCATCATCATTACACGTTAGCTGAAGGTGAGAAACTTCAGCCAATGTGCCGCAATACAAAAAGAGAGTCTATGTGCAAAAGCGAGATGCGGGGCATTGCAGAATACAATACATAAAAACAAAATCGTACTATGATCTAGTATCATATTACGCATCACGTGTGAGAACATAGTTGGAGGTGGAGGATAAGCTAGAGGGTGGGACAAGGAAACTCACTACACGAATGTCATTGGGACTGGTTCTTCGTCATGTAAACATGTGTATTCCAGCAAACGTACTCATTGCCCTTAGGCCCCCAGGCATGGAGACAACAACCGATGCCGATCTCGAAGTGCGAGACCTCATTCCTCTTGACCACTTCCTCGCTTGGTCTCCCCTCTTCTTTTTCCATCTGCACCCCAATCGCACCAACAACGCACGTCGTTGGAGTCAGTGGGCTGGCATGCGCAGCAAGTGACCGAACTGCATTGCAAACATAGTCAAATGTTATAACTGCGTGGTCACTGAGACGTAATCTTCGACCACAAGCTCCTCGTTTGTAAGCACAAGTTACAATAAGGACGGTTTGTTTGCTACCCTGAATCTAGTGCGCTGTATATATGCGATAAATTCATGTAAGTCAGCTATAAACCGTTCATCTGTATATGCCGAGACCTTAAGATCGTGTATATAGAAAACAACGGCGATGAGGATATGGTTGTATCTATGGTGTGTAGCGTTGCTCAGGGCGCATATCAAGTGGGAATCCATTCCCGGGGTGAATGTTGAGGGACAATTTACAACAGCTAGTCTGAGACGATGCGCGCAATCGAGCGCGGCTCTCAGAAGATAAACGATGTTGGGCACAGCGAACTAAATTCGAGGATATATGAAGAACGTGCACCGATGAAGCGAAACAAGAACGAACGTCAGCACGGTAACTCACCGAGCAGATGAGTGTCAAGGAATAGAGACTGGAGGTAAGGAGAATTTTTCCACCTTGATCGTCACTCCATATTGTGATAAACGGTCATGAAGTGTCCGTACGTGACGCGAATCCTCTTCGCATGAGCAGGTTGCGATACGGATGTCATCGAGATGTATGTCAGCGAAGTCTAAGCCACGACAAACTTGGTCGATAAAGCGCTGAAAAGTTTGCGCGGCGTTCAAACTTGAATTTGGGGAACCCGGTGTGTGGCTTGATTGCAACATGCAACCTCTATTGATTCCTCGGTTCACTTTGAAATAAACCCTGGTCATTCCGATTGCAAGGACCGTATCCGAGGCGGAAATATTTGGATGTTGCTGCCCCTAACACTAGCAAACCACGAGCTCACTTTCGTCCTGGTTTGGACTCATCAGGTGGCGATAGACTGAGCTAAGGTGGGACTCACAACGGGTTCCCAACTTCAACTTTGAATTCCTTTTCGGTGTGCCAAGCCTCGCTGGCGGATCTCAGTAACGTAGTGTTCAGGACATCAGTCGTGAACTACTAGGCTCTGAGCCACCCCAACTCAGACTATCGCCACCTGACGTGTTCAAACCGGGACAAAACCGTGGTCGTGGTGTGCCAGTGTTGTGAGGAGTAACACCCAAATATTTCCGTTTGCGCGACGTTCTTAATCCCAGAAGATACACGCAAAACTCCAACAAAAATAAACGGAGTCTTCACAGCAATTTTAACTATGTTCGCATCTGCTACCGGCATTTGGTTGTATACGCGTGCAGTCGATCTTACTAAAAACTTTCTTAGCTGTTAGACTTGCTGTGAGATCCACCATGTGTGGAATCAGATAGCAATCGGGCGTAGAAACAGTATTCAAAGCATCTTAGTCACCACAATGACAATGAGCGATGAATCTATCCGGGTAAAGAAACACTGCTTTACATGCCCCGTTGGGTGGTCTACTGGGTTAATGAAAAAATGCAGTTAGTAGTTTTACTATAAAAGCGATGGACTTCTCGTATTTAATGCAGTAGCCCTGCATTCCGAATGTTTCAATAGGTGAAAAAAGAAATCCAAGGTATTTCCTGGGAGTAGGAGTAATGCAAGGTAACAAGATATATGAGTGGCGGAGTCCGTCATCCAACTGACGTTGAAATGTGTCTAATGTAGGTTCAGGAACAACCGATTCGATAGAAAATCAATTTCTATGATGCTCCAGACGGCTGTGCTGTTTTGCTAATTTCAACGCATGACCTCTAAGCGTGGTGTTATTACCGTTGCAGGAAAGAGCGTCGCACATGATTTCAATTGCGTAAAATCAAGTATGCCATTATCAGGTCGTCTCGTAGTCGGCGATACCGCCCGCTGAATACTCCCAAACGTTGCGACTTTCGCTCATATGGAAGGTGACACATTCCAATGACGTATTCGGAAGCCTGCCATTGAGATTCGTCCAGTGCAGAGGTCAGCCTTGACTTGCTCATTCTACAGGGTGCGAACATACACATTGAGCATCTGTCTGAAAATGGAGGTTGTCTGAACGCCCGTCGCAATAGGCTGACGTGTTGTTTACCAGTTTTAGATATCTTTTCGGATTTTTTGGAACAACCCAAGTTATCATGGACCAGCACCCCCATGTCACGTTCGACGGATGCTCGCTGCCATTCTTGCGTTCCCAGCCTGTATGAATAGGTACTCTGGTGTCATATGGAGAGTACCTTGCCTTTGCCCACCTTGAACTGTAGCAGATTTCTTTTTGACCACGGATGTACCTTATCCAAATCATACTGAAGTAAATTCTGATCGGCATCCACCTGAATCATATGCCATGTCCGGGTGTCGTCAGCAAACAGTAGGAAATTTGAAGCGATTGTCTGCGCAAGGTCATTAATGAATACCAAAAAGCTCGTTGTCGTAGAACTGAGGCACACCAGACTCGATTACTGTGACTAGATAAAGAACTCTGGACTCTGACCACTAGTTGTCGTTGCGGGAGAACTTTAACAGTCTGGCTCAAGAGATGGTCACCGATCCCGTAATATCAGAGTTTGGTAAGGAGAATCCATGGTCTAAACGATCGAATGCTTTCGAAAAATCCAAGTAGCTCACTTCAACTGCCTCTTCAGTGTCATCTGATTCAGTCTAACTACTCCGTGCTATTAATAAATTCGTTGTGAACGATCACTGTTGACGAAAGCCGTTTACTCGGGAGCACTAATGTTATGATTTTCTAGATAACACCAACGCATCGGCAACGATGGATTCCATTAACTTGGACAGTACAGGGAGTAGAGATACTGGGCCGTAGTTTGACGTAGCAGTCCTGCTTCCGCCTTTGTGCATCATAATTATTTTTCCAAGCTTCCATATCGCAGCAACCTGGTTTTGGTCTAGGCAGCGCAGAAAGGACTGGTCCAAAGGCTTTGCCAGTTGTCTTGCTACTACTCCCAGTACCTCAGAGCGAGTGCTGTCGACTCCTGAGGAGCTGTGTTTGTGCTGAGACGTCAGCTTCTCCAATACACCTCAAGCATTACAAGTGATGTAGGTGAGTCCTAAAGGTGGGAAAACACAAGCTAGGAGATGGCTTGATGGTAAGATCCTCTGAAATGTGGGGGCATATTGCGTCCGCACCGCGTTTGGATCATCAGCCGTCAGGAGTGGAGGAATTCCCTTCCACACCTTAGGCAGACCGTTGACATACTTGTACAATAGTTTGCGTTTCGCGCCGAAACTTTTCGGCTTTCTCTGCGGATGTACGGCTTTGTCATCTTTGAAAAGTTGAATGAATTGGTTACGCTGGGCTACGTAGTTCTCCCCATTATTTGGTATTGGTGATTATCTATACTATCGCTACGCTGCGTTGTGTAGTCATCCATTTTCGAGTTCTGCTCCTTACGAAAGAAACGGTTTCAGGCCATTGCAAACCTTGTCTCTGATTCATCCGTGACTAGTTGATTGAATTTGCTGACGTATTGGAGCCAAACGACTTTCGGGTGACCTTCGGCAAGGAACGATGAGGTTGTGGCACTGACGGGCTGGGCTAAGCGGCCATAGCGTGTAATGGTGCGCCCCATCACAGGGTTTTCGTGACTATGAAGTCGAAACTGATGACTGCATGCTCACTACGACCTAAAGGGCGGTCTACAGCCAATACATTAAGCAAATGTTCCTTGTCGGTGCACACGGGACCCAGCAAAGATGATCTATTACCTGTTGTGAAACGAGTGGGCAAAATGGCTTGTTTGTAAAGTGGAACACTGGTTCTGAGCTCTTGCAGATCGGTTTCAAATTGTTCTCCGATTGTATCAGGGGTTTCTAAACAATGTACGTTGAAATCACCCATGTTAAATATGTGGGTGTGCTTTCGCTCTAGACTGCATCTGTCGCAAGATAGCAGTGCATTTCCGGTGTGGAGTTTGGGGGGCGGTACGCCAAAGCCATAAGGCAAGTGTCTGCCTTTTAACTGCAATCGGCAACATAGCAAATCGGCGTACTGTGAGTCTGAATTCCACACGGCCTGACACCGTGCGTCGCTTCTGTAACAAAGAATTACCCCTCCTTTAGTAAGCCTGTCGTTTCGTATGAGTGATACGCCCGTCAGCGAGACTTCTTTGTGCAACCACGTCTCCGTGACACCAATGATATCGCATGGTTTCAATATTTGGCGATATTTCAGCCCGACCAGCTTGTTGAAATGGTCTTGAGCATTGCTATAAAGATAGGATAATTTCTCGGTCTAGAGACCGAGCCCACAGGGAGCTAAAGGAGTCAGGCGTGGAGAATGCCGATTGATGTGAAGACGGCCGTTGTTTT